GGTCCCTGAGAGTCTCCTCTCTAGTCTCTCCACGGAAAAGCCTCCTGCTTCCTGTTTCCACTGCAGACATTTCTGTATTATTACACAAATATCAGTAACCCCTGTTGCAAGGGTGCACTTCCTAGCTGCTCTCAAGGACATTTTTTAAACAATATTTTTTCGTCTTTGAGAGTTCCATTTAGTTAGTGTACATTGATCATATCCACCCACTGCTCTCTCAACCTTCCCCAGTGTCCCCAACCCATCTCACTCCCAAATTCATGTACTCTTTTTATTTTATTTTTACTGTTATTAATAGCCTCAAGTCCAATTAGCGCTACCCATGGGTGTGAGACCAGCCACTGGCATATGAACAACCTACCAGTGGCCATGTACCCCAAAGAGGGCACTCTCCCTCCCTCAGCAGCACTCGGCTGCCAACAGGTCCTCCAATAGGCTCAGGGCCCCCGGGAACCCTTCTCCATCCACACTGAAATTTTGACTGGCTTGATCTTGTACAGGTCTTGTTCCGGAAACCCCAGCTTCTGTGAGTTGGTGAGTGCTGCAGCAGTGTCGTGTCTGGAGTCAGCACCTCCTAGCTCTCCTCCCTATGTAGCAACCCTTATGCTCTTCCCATTGTCTCTTCCATGAAGTCCCTAAAAGCCTTGGATGCTGTGAAGTTGATAGAGATGACCCAACCACACCTGAGCACTCAGAGTTACTTGTATGTGGCACTTTGATCTGTTATGAGTCAACCAGATGATGCTTCAATACTCTTTGCTGCTTGACAATTTCCTTTCTCTTGTTCTGGAGTTAGAGGGTCAGTCCAGTTTTGAAGGACACAAGGTACAGTCTCCTCGCTCATAGTCTGCTCTCAAGATCTTAAAAAGCACAGGAAAATTTACAATACACTGTACATTACAGTGTATCCTGGCTACTGTAATGTCAAGGTGACACAAGTTAGAGTCATCTGAAATGAAGGAACCTCAACTTAGAAAGTGCTCCACAAGATCCAACTGTAAGGCATTTTCTTAATTAGTAATTGATGGGGGAAGACCCAGACCATTGCAAGCATGGTCATCACTGGGCTGGTGGTCCTGCATTGTATAAGAAGGCAAACTGAGCAAAACATGAGGAGCAAGCCAGTAAACAGCTCTCCTCCATGGCCTCTGCATCAGCTCCTACCTCCAGGTTCCTGCTTGAGTTCCTGTCCTGACTTCCTTCAGTAACAAACAGTGTTTTGTAAGCTTAAGCCAAATAAGCCCTTTCCTCCCCAAGTTGCTTTGGTGTTTCATGGCAGCAGTAATAACCCGAACTAGGACCCAGTGTCTCAGAATTTCCAGCCTTTTTGAGATTGGGTAGTATTGCATTATGGATCTAGTTCACCTTTTGCTTGTCCATTCTTCTGTCAATGGACACGTGGTTTGTGTCTTTGTCAGGGTTTCTGTTGCTATAAAGAGACATCATAACCATGGCAACTCTTAAAAAGGAAAACATTTCACTGTGGTGGCTCTGAAATTACATTTTGGAGATTTAAGCCATTGTCATCAAGGGCAGGAAGCAAGACACCCTGCAGGCGGATGTGGTGCTGGAGAAGGAGCTGAAAGGTCTTTTGTTTTGTTTTGTTTTTGTTTGTTTGTTTGTTTGTTTTGTTTTCAAGACAGGGTTTCTCTGTGTAGCTTTGGAGCCTGTCCTAGAAGTCACTCTTTAGACTAGACTGGCCTTGAACTCACAAAGATTGGCCTTCCTTTGCCTCCCAAGAGCTGTGATTAAAGGCCTGCACCACCACCCAGCAAACCGACAGTTCTTACATTGACTCACTCATAGGCCACAGGAAGTGAACTGCTCACTGGGTAAGACTTGAGCATAGATGAGATCCCAAAGCCCACCTTCACAGTGACACTTCCTCCAACAACACTACACATATTCCAACAAGGCCATACCTCCTAATCCACTTCCTTTGGAAGCCTTTTTATTTTTTTCAAACCACCACATTGTTTGATTCCACAGTTTAGCTGCTTTGAATAAGCTATGAATGTGGGTGTCTTTCTTATTCTTGTGATTATATAATGTGTGTGTGTGTGTGTGTGTGTGTGTGTGTGAGAGAGAGAGAGAGAGAGAGAGAGAGAGAGAGAGAGAGAGAGAGAGAGAGAGAGAATTATATAGGTATTCTCCCTATATTTATGCCTTTGAGGAACTGAATGTTTTCCACCACCTTACTCTTTATATTTCCATTAACAGAACATAAGACTTCTATTTGTCTTAGGATTTTGCTTCTTCAGTAGAGTCTCGTATCACCAAGGCTGGACTTGAACTTCTGACTCACCTACCTCTACCTCCCAAATGCTGGTATTACAGGCATGTACCACCATGCTGGGCATGGATTCCAATTTTCTCTAAGTTCTAGTAACACTTGTCACTTTCTGGTTTTACTGCTGTAATTTGTTTGTGTTTGGTTTTGACACTAGCCATCCTTCTGAGGAAAAGGTGGTATCTCATTGTGGGTTTGATTTGCCTTGCCCTAATAATTCCTGAACTGAGAATCTCTGTGTGCTTCTTGGCCATATAGAGACCTTCTTTGGAGAAATGTCAAATCTTTTGCCCATTTTTCCTGTGTGTGTGTGTTCACATGTATATGACATGCATGGGAATATATGTGTGTGCCTGTGAAGGCCAGGAGTTGATGTCAGATGTCTTCTTTGGTTGCCCTTTATTTAATGACACAAGGTTTTCACTGACTCCAGAGATTTTTACCTCTCCAGCTTCTCCTAGGCACCTCCTGCCTCTGTCTTCGGAGTGCTGGGATCAGGATGGGACACCATACCCACTTGGCTTCTCTATGGGGGCCGGGACTCTGTACTATAGTCCTCTGGTTTGCACAGCCAGTGTTTTATCCTCTGAGTCAGTCATCTCCCTGGCCACTTTGCCCATGTTAAAATTTAGCTATATGTTTTGACGGTTTACAGTTTTAGATTGTTGTCCTCTACCAGATATATTTACCTACACAAATTTTCTCCTTTCTTTGTCTTTCCCCCTGTTGACAGTGCTCCCTGAAGCATTAATGCTTCAATTTTCACAAAGTTCTGTCTATGGTTTGTTTCCTGTATTTTTGGTATCACATTGGAGAAACCCTTACCATAGCCAATGTTGTCAATTTTTGCTATATTGTAGCTGGATATGGTGACGCCTGATTTTAATCCCAGCGCTTGGGAAGCAGCAGAAGAGAGATCTCTACTAGTCTGAGGCCAGCCTGGTCTAGATCATGAGTTCTGGGTCAGCCAAGGCTACACAGTAAGGACTTGTCAACAACAACAAAACTATTGTTTCATCTTCTTTTTACATCTGAATTTCCAATGTTAGTGTATTAGTCAGGGTTCTCTAGAGTCACAGAACTTAGGGAAAGAATCCCTATATAGAAGGGGCATTCATTGGAGTGACTTACAGGCTGTAGTCCAGCTGATCCAGCCATGGCTGGCTGTGAAGGAAAGTCCAAGAATCCAGTCCCACAAGGCTGGGTGTCTCAGCTGGTCTGTATCTTCAATCTTCCGCCCAGTGAAGGAAGGGATGCGTTAGAAGGTGAGGGCAAGCGGGCGAAGAACAAAACCTTCCGCCTCCCACGTCCTCACACAGGCTTCTAGCAGAAGGCGTGGCCCAGATAAAAGCGTCTCTCCCGACTTCAATATCCAGATCAAAGGCGTGCGTCTTCCTACCTCAAAGGTCCAGACTAGAAGAGAATTCACCCACTTCAAATCAAGCAGAGAATTTCTCATAGGTGTGCCCTCCCTTTCTGGGTTAGGGTTAGGGTTGTAGTTCATCCCAGATAAAGTCAGGCAGACAACCAAGGATAGCCATCGCAATTAGCAATAATGTAATTTGTTCAAAACACTGTCCTTTGCTTGGTGTGATAGTCTTGTCATCCGCCAAAGTCACATGGCCGTGTGCACAAAGGTTTCTTTCTGGGCGCTGTTCTGATTCCTCAGTCTGCACGTCTGCTTTTATATCAGTACTGCTCTGTTCTGACGGCTCTGGGGTGAGTCTTGAAGACAGCTTTGTTCTGCCTTTTCCAGACAACCTACTAGAAATCTGTGTAGAATTCAGATGAATTATTAGAAGATGAATTTTTTCAGCTTAGATCTTTGCCTTTGCTGTGAAAGTATTATGCTCCTTCTTTGGGTATATTCTTCCTTCTTTCTTTCCTTCCTTCCTTCCTTCCTTCCTTCCTTCCTTCCTTCCTTCCTTCCTTCCTTCCTTCCTCTTTCTGTCTTGTTTTTGTACTAAGTTTTAAACTCAGGCTGCACACATGCTAATCAAGCGCTCTAAAACTCAACTATATCCCTAGCTCTCTTTTTACTTTTTGAATTTGGAGACAGGGTCTTGTTAAGATATCAAGGCTGGCCTTGAATGCATCCATAGCCCAAACAGGTTACTTAACTTACACTTCTGTCTCCACCCCCTCTGTAATGTGGATGGCAGGCCTGCACCATCAGGGAGCCTGGGCCTTCCCTCTCCTCCTAAGAATCAAACCATTTCAACCCCATCTCCACTTCCCACCTCCAGAGTCTCAGGACTGTTCTGACCCACTTTGAGCTCTGGGTCTGCTGTGCCCTGAAGTGAACGTCTATCAGTTTTTCTTGTAATAGCACAGTTTTCTTCTCCCCTTTTATGAGACAAAGTCTTGCTATATAGACCAAGTAGGCTGGCTTTGGATTTGTGTGATCCTCCAGCCTTTGCCTCTGAGGTTTTCATCTTTAAAATATTAACCACAGGGATCTAGAGATGGCTTAGTGGTTAAGAGCACTAACTGCTCTTCCAGAGGATCAAGGTTCGATTCCCAGCACCCACATGGAGGCTCACAACCATCTCTAACACCAGTTCTAGCCTCCAGCATGCACCAGACACGCACACAGCATACAGACATATGTCCAGGCAAAACACCCATACACATAAGATTTTTTTAAAAAATAAATGGATCTTTATTAAAAATTCATCATGACCAGTAATCATCTTAGGTCCAAGTTAGTTCTTACAGAGAGATCAGAGATTCTTCGAGACTCTGGGAGGGGGGGCATAAGGTCTCATATTGCCCAGACCTCCTCAGCTGGCTACGCAGAGGACAGCCCTGATGTTCTCCCGGCCTCCACTTCACTTCCCAAGTGCTAGGATCAGAGGTCTGTCTGTCACAGCTGCGTCATTAGGTGGCGAGGGTGGAATTCAGGTTTTCATAGGGGTCAGGCAGGCAGCCTATCAACTGAGCTACTCCTCCAACACACACACACACACACACAGTTCTTTCCCATTGTCACGTCTTTAAAACAGAGAGCTGGGTCTCAAAATTGGTGACGTCTGACCATGGCCATAGCTTGTATTTTGCTGGTACATGAGGGGTCCTATGTTGTCCAATCCAAGTACGGCCTCCAGGGACAGCCATGACTGGGGGGCAAGGGAAAGAAGAAAAGACAAACTGACACACAGACAAGAAAACTAGGTGTTCTAGGCCATCTGCTGGAGAAACCACAGCATGCTGGGAGCTTAGGGTGTTTACTGTATACAGTTGACAGAGAGGTGGGATTATTGCATTCCTTTGAACGAGGAGGTGGGACTTCCGGTGAGCAGGGGGCGGGCTTATGATGAGCAGCTAGAGCCTAGGGTCGAGATAGGCTAATATCAGTAGGCGCAGCCTCTGTAGGGGAGCAGTCTTCAGGCCGTAAGAATCTATAAAGCTGTGAGGGGGTGTTATTGAGGACATCTCTGCACGTACTAACAAATCTACACATGGACCAGAGAAAGGCTTTGCCGTTTCCCTCTGAGCCTCACCCTGGGGATGGAGAGGGGGGAGTTTTGCCGCTCATTCCTCCATGGGTCCTTGCCCATGCCCGTCCTTGCCCCCTAAGGATGTCTTATGATCAACGGTACCTTGGTTTTCAACGAAACATGGTACGTGTTTGCTGTGTTTACCTATTTAGGGCAATGCCTCTGTCATCTGTGGCTCCAAGGCTGCAGGGCCAAGGCCTCGCTCCAGGTCTCTGTGCTCACCAGGTATTTGATGAATTGCTAGGGACTGATTGATGAGTTATAAACTAGTGATCACACTATGTGTGTTCCTAGGCAAACCCCAGAACAATAGCTAGGCTAGATAACATCGCGTGCTCGCCTGGCCACAGCACTGTGAGGACTTAACCTTGCTTCACTCTTAGAGGAAGAAGGACGTGGGAGTCCTGCCTCTGAGAACTCTGACAAAGCTCTCACCTCTCTTCCTTGTCGACAGAGGCTTCTGTAAACGGAAATCCACATAAGGCAAACGTACTCTGCAGCAGGGACACCACAGAGGGGATCCTATCCAAAAGTGATGTCAGCTTCGTCCCCAGGACACCCTGACGGCTTTGTCTATCTCTTCAGGAAATGTCGGCCCTTCTAGCATCTCAGTAGTAGCTGACACTTCTGACCAGGCTGTCCCTGCACATCAAATAAAGTGACTCTGATGAGGAGAAAGTGAAACGTGTCATCTTGTGAAGGCGGATCTGGGTCTGAGGCCAGGCCGGTCTACAGAGCAAGTTCCAGGCTGGCCAGGGCTACACAGAGAAACTCTGTGTGTGGAAGGGGCGGGGGTGGGGTGGGGTGAGGAAGACAGTGTCCTCTGGAGGGGACTTGGAGTTCCTGCTCCGGGTTCATCAAGTGTGACTGCCCAGGGGCAGAATGAGCCCAGCAGCACATACTCTTTCCTTAGCAGTGGCAGGGCTTAGAGCAGAATGGCCATCCTCGCAGGCACACACGAGAGTGAGGAGGAGGCTTGATTTTTTATTGATTTATTCATTTTGGTTTTTCAAGACAAGGTTACTCTGTGTAGTCCTGGCTGTTCTGGAACTAGCTTTGTAGACCTGAATAACCTCTAACTCAGAGATCCACCTGCCTCTGCCTCCCAGGTGCTGGGATTAAAGGCGTGCACCACCACACCTGGTTCTGGGAGCTGGTTTTCGTTTCAGACTGTTTCTTCTCTCTCCAGACTAAGCAGGAGGCTTGATTTGCAGCAAATTCCTTCAACATTTGAGGAATCTGCTGATGATCCAGTGACACAGCAGGGATTTTTACAAAAAAAAAAAAAAAGGAAATGAGATCAATAATAAAATATTGTTGGGGTTCTTCTTCACCGCATAAGAACCAAAACTTTTGTAAGTTACAATATAAATGTCACAGTAATGTCAAGGTGCTCTACAAGTTCTCAGAAAAGGTTGGTCTGTCGCTTAGTGGTGGAGCACTTACCTCAGTGGTGGAGCATTTACCTTAGTGATAGAGTACGTACTTTAGTGGTGGAACACTTACCTCAGTGGTGGAGCACTTACCTTAAGTGGTGGAGCACTTAGGAAGGGCCAGAGGGCCAGAGTTCCATCTCAGACTGCAAGGAAGAAAACTATTACTCCTCTTTACTAAGAAATCCACTCCACTGTGGTAGTTTGAAAGAAAACAACCCTCACAAAGGGAGTAGCACTATTAGGAAGTGTGGCCTTGTTGGAGGAAGTGTGTCGTGTCACTGTGGAGGCAGGCTTTGAGATCTCATATATGCTCAAGCTACTCCCAGTGATAAACTTCCCTTCCTGTTACCTTTGGACTGAGACATTTAGTATTATCCTGAAGAATACCTCTGTCGCTTACCTGACAGTCACTGGAGGATTAGTGACAAGATCTGGTGTGCAGAGGGTCGAATGAAACTCTGTGTATCCTCCCATCCATAGTGTCAGGAGTGGGGTAGAAGGAGCGGAAGAGTCCTGAGTGGAAGGGGTAAGCACAAGAACAGAGATGAAGGCAGGAAGCAAGAACAACTCCCATCCTCACGCTCCTGAATCTGCAGATCCAACCGGCTTCAGGTTCAAACCTCAGAAACAGAACTGCATCTTCCCCGAACGTGCACAGGCTGTAACACTGGTTTTGTTCCCTAAATGATATATGCTCTAAGCTCTCCCTGGGAGGTACATCGTGTTAGGCACAGCAAACCATCTGGAGGGAAGACACAAGAGGATACTATTTGAATACTCTTCAATTTAACATAAGGGCCTTGAGAACCCATTGACTTCAGTATGGAGAAAGATCTAGAAAGCATGGGTAGTGGGTTAAAATACAGCAATAGAGGGGCTGGAGAGATGGCTCAGAGGTTAAGAGCATTGCCTGTTCTTCCAAAGGTCCTGAGTTCAATTCCCAGCAACCACATGGTGGCTCACAACCATCTGTAATGAGGTCTGGTGCCCTCTTCCGGCCAGCAGGCATACACACAGAATATTGTATACATAATAAATAAATAAATATTTTTAAAAAATACAGCAATAGAAACCAGGAGCTCAAGAGTCAAAGAGATCAGAGAAAGCAGTTGCTGAGCACAGTGTGGCAATGAACGACGCAAGCAACAGTTTACCTGAGCCAAGCACAGGGTGAAGTGCTGTCTACCCCTGTTCTGTGCTTCCCAGAGCGGTGAAGGTCTCTTCAAGCACAATAACCGTGCCCAGGGTTCACCCGTTCCTAGCAGTCTCCTTTGGTGCCCTGGGCTGAGTCAGCTCCACTTTCAGAACCTCAGGCCTCCCAAGTAGGTGACTCAAAGACACAGGCTTCTCTTCCCCCACGCCTTTCAGGAAATGGCTCACAAATGTACTTGACAGAAGTCTAAAACCAAATGGATCATCCGGTAGGTGTTGAAGGCTGGGCACACTGTGCTAATGCCAGTCTTAATTAATCCAGAACTTGAGCGGAGCATGGTGGCTCACACCCATAGTCCCAGCACTTGGAAAGAAAGGCAGGAAGCTCAACACGAGATGCAGGACATCTTGGCTACATGGTTCATGCACCCCCATGCCAGTCAGGACTACAGAGTAAGATCCTGCCTGAAAGACAATGATGATCGTGATGATAAACTTGATCCCATCCCTTCCGTTGAATGGTTGGCTTCAGCGTCCCTCCACAGATGAGTTTTCCTGGCCCCAGCTATCTCTGCCACCTTCTGGCTAGGCCATGACTGTGTGGAAACCAACTCTCTGAGGGTATGTGTCATGGACTGAAGTAAGAGCCATTCCCCGGTAGCTTGTCCATGGGTCCTAAGCGTCCCAAAGCTAAAGGATCTACCACTCTCTCTCTCTCCCTTTCTGCAGTACTGGGGATTGAACCAGGGCCTTGTGTGTGCTAAGCAAGCACAGTCTACCACTAAGCTATGGCCTCACTCTACCCACTACCCTCTTTGTTTTTTTTTAATCTTTTTTTCTTATTATTGATTTTATTGAGCTCTACATTTTTCTCTGCTCCCTTCCCTTCCTCTCCCCTCCCCTTCAACCCTCTCCCATGGTCCCCATGCTCCTAATATACTCAGGAGATCGTGTCTTTTTCTACTTCCCATGTAGGTTAGCTCCCTGTATGTCTCTCTTAGGGTCCTCATTATTATCTAAGTACTCTGGGATTGTGAATTATAGGCTGGTTTTCTTTGCTTTATGTCTAAAAGCCACTTATGAGTGAGTACATATATTTGTCTTTCTGGGTCTGGGTTACCACACCCAATATGATATTTTCTAGATCCATCCATTTGCTTGCAAAATTTCAAGATGTCATTATTTTTTTCTGCTGTGTAGTACTCCATTGTGTAAATGCACCACATTTTCCTTTTCCATTCTTCTTGAATTTCTTTTGATACCAGATAGTACATCAGAGTCTTTGGAGGTGTCAACCAAGCATGGTGGCAGCCGGAGAGATAAACCCATTGCTGCACTATATTTACTGACACGGTGCAACCCTGCTGGGACCCATCAAGGTCCCTCGGGACTGTGGTCTTCTCCAGAGTCACCAGCAGCATGGGTTTGGAAGAATCCTTCATGGTTGGCCTTGGAAGTTCTCTCAAAAGCAGTACACAAAGCCTCGTGTTATGTATGTATTTCCTTCCAGACCCCAGCTGGTTTCCTCCTGTATCCGACCCCGCCCCCCCCCACAAACCCACGCAGCCTCTCCCCCTTCCCTGCTGCTCTGGCTTCTCTGAGCTGCGATTTCTGCCTTCACTGTGATAAAAGGCCTGCTGTCTCCTAAAAACAACAGAGAGATGGCTGGCAGGCCACCAAGCCTGTCCCCCTGAGTTTGATTCTCAAAGATCACAAGGTAGCAGAAGAGAACAGAGTCTCTCAAATTGTCCTATGGCCCCCACATGTGTTATGGCACACCTGCACCCCATACATGCACATACACGTACAAACTCACAGACACACAAAAATAAGTAAATAGCTGTGATGGAAATGGAGTAAATAACAAATGAAAACAAATGCCATTGTAAATCCACCCGAGATGGCTATTATCGGGTACCTCCCCCAGAAAAGAATGCAGAGCGGAACCAGAAGAGAATGCTAAGGTTTCCTGGCTTGAATTCACGACTGAGAACACAGAAGGAAAAGACTTCTGGCCAGTCAACCAAAAAAGTGATCCAGAAACAAGGAGTAGTAACCATGTCTTCAGGGGTGTGTGAAATAAATGTACTAAGGAATAAACCTGTCTGGAACAAGTAGATACTCCTATGAAAAGAAAACAAAATGAATCTGAGCCCTTCCCCACGGAAAGCAATGCAGTCAGCACGAAAATCTAAATGTCACAGGTAAAAGTAGAAAGATTTTGATACCAAACACAGGGGGGAGATTTCATTATCTCAAAGAAAATTCCCTAAAATGAGCACTAAGAGCCCCGGCTGCTCTCCCGACACCCACATGTCACTCATAACCATCCATAACTCCAGTTCCAGGGGACCCAATGCTCTCTCCTGGCTTCTGTGGGCACCAGGCACACATGTGGTACACAGACATACATGCAGGGAAACATCCATTCACACACACAACACCCTAAACAATGTTTTCATTACATTAATTAAATAAGTAAACAAACAAGTAAACAAGCGTTTGAAGACGACTTCAATACTTTATAATACGGACGTCGACAGAAGACAACACGTAGTGGGGAAGCTGAGCTAGAACAGACAATGCTTCACACAAACAACGAAGTCCAATGTACGAAAGACGTGCACCAGCGGCTACACATCAGAGACAAGCAACCCAAATAGAGGCTGGCAAATCTCTGAGCAAGCATTTTAGAGAGGAGGGCGGCACACTGAAGTGATCAATAGCAGGACACTTTTGTATGCACATACAAGGCTCAGGCCCAACAAACAAACAAAACAAAGAAACCCTGATACTTTAAAAGGTGTTCTGGGCTGGAGGCATGGCTCAGCGGTTAAAAGCACTTTCAGTTCTCCCAGAGGACCAGAGTTAGGTTCCCAACTCCTATATCAGATGGTTGTAAACCACCTGTAGCATAACAAACACACCTAATTAAACGAACAATTATCTTTTTAAAGAGAAGTAGTGGGCTGGGTGTGGTGGCGCACCTCTTTAGACCCAGCACTTGGGAGGCAAAAGCAGGTGAATCTCTATGAGTTCAAGGCCAGTCTGGTCTACAGAGTGAGTTTCAGACAATCCATAGCTATATCATGAGACCATCTCAAAATTTTTTAGAAAGTGATATTCAATTTCACTGTTAATAAACAAACAGGACAGGCAAGATGGATGAGTGGGTAAATGTTGTGGGATATTTGTACGCCGTGTAAAGATGTGTCATTGTGATTGGTTTAATAAAGAGCTGTGAGGCCAATGGCCAGGCAGGAAGATGTTAAGTGGGACTTCCGGGGACAGAGAGAACTTGGGGAAGAAGAAAGCAGAGTCACCAGTCAGATGAAGTGGTAACAGGTTTGACAGTACATAATAAAGGTAACTAAGCCACGCAAAAGAACATAGATTAAAGGATAGGGATTAATTTAAATTATAAGAGCCAGTTAGGAACAAGACTAAGCTAAGGCTGAGCTTTCATAACTAATGAGAAGTCTCCATGCTGTTATGTGGGAGTTGGCTGGCAGGACAGAGAAAGACTCCTTACAGGGAAAGGTACCTGCTGCCGAGCCCAAAGGTCTGAGTTCAATCACTAGGCCCCGCATGGTGGAAAGAAAGGATCAATTCCTGAAAAGTTGTCCTCTGACCTCCAGAAGTGCCATGGCTTGTGCATGTAAATATATATGTACATATGCATGTGTGTGCATGCACACACACACACACACAAATGGAACCTAAAATACACAAAAAATGGTAACAAAACATATTACAGCCGGGTGGTGGTGGTGCACGCCTTTAATCCCAGCACTCGGGAGGCAGAGGCAGGCGGATCTCTGTGAGTTCGAGGCCAGCCTGGTCTACAAGAGCTAGTTCCAGGACAGGAACCAAAAAGCTACAGAGAAACCCTGTCTCGAAAAAAAAAAAAAAACTATTACAGTGTGACAATGTAGTGCAGATATGTAAACTGCTGATGAAATAAACACATGCAGAACATAACTAGAGAGCAGTATGTCATCGCTTAGGAAACTGAAAGACACGTCACAAAGCCTACTGGTCAGCAGTTTAATCCCCACAGAAGAAATGCAGCAAATGTGCACAGAGACTTGTGATCACAGCATCCGTAATAAACAATTAGTCCAAGGCCTGCTCCAGCAGCAGCAGAGTGGATAGAGTCACCAAGACGGTCACAGTGTTGTTTGTGATCCTGGATGGTCACAGCTGGGGTCTGGTCAGTGAGGATTGTCCGATTTCTTCATCTTCATCTTCTTCACAGGTGTCCTTACTAAACAAAGAAAGGCTTCATCTGCCTTCACATCTTCCTAACCAGGGCAAAGAGAAACCATGAGCATTTGAAGAAACAAATAAATGTAATGCAATCTGAAATGTGCTTGGCACACAATAAATGCTCAATAAACACTGGCTGTTGCACTGGGTATGGTGGTGCACACGTGTAACACTCACACGTTGAAGGTTGAGGCGGAGAGAAAGTAGAGTTCAAGTCAGCGTGGATGCCATACTGAGACCTGTCTCAGATTCATAGCATCCTGCCAGACCCAGGAGCTGTGTGTCACATGCTTATATTCCTTCCTTACATCCCGAGGCTAGTCAAGTGACTGACCCTGTAACAACCCCATCTCTTCACGTTTGCTCTTTGAGATGTTTGTATCATCATGGGAGGGAGGGGTTTATTGGGCCCCACCCCCTCCAACGGTTTTACACAGTTATTGGTTGATAGAAAGAGGGATAGGCTGTTCCTCCCAGGGTGTAGCCACTGGTCCTAGAAACAACCCTAAAAGAACTCACTACATCACCAAAAAAGAAAGAAGAAGAAGAAGAAGAAGAAGAAGAAGAAGAAGAAGAAGAAGAAGAAGAAGAAGAAGAAGAAGAAGAAGAAGAAGAAGAAGAAGAAGAAGAAGAAGGCATGAATGTAGAGGAGGGGGTCAATAGGATACAGGAAGGGAATTAGAAAAATGGGAGGGGAGAAGTAAGGGAAGGATATGTATAAATATGATCTAAATGTATTGTTTACATTATGGAAATGTCATGTGCTGATTTGAAAGAAAATGACCCCCCCCAAAGGGAGTGGCACTATTAGGAGGTGTGGCCTTGTTGGAGGAAGTGTGTCACTGTGGAAG